AGAGACAGGTGAAGTTAAAAACAACTCACCAGTTCAAAATCACCATTTTATTACTATGTAATAATACTGTGGTATCAATATGGACCCCCACCCATCAGGTATAGTCATAATATGTAAGGTACAGCCTGACATGTGCAGGTGCTGCCATCATATGCCAAGTGCAACCTCAAATGCCATGGGGAGTCAGGGCAGGACTAGGACTTTTGTCTCCTGGTGCCAGTCCCGGTGTCTGTCTCATGGCTGGGGCAGCCCAGCTATTACTGGGTTTGGGTCCCATATGGGAAATGCTGTCATCTAGCACCACAGGCCAGTCAGTTATTATAACCCAAGACAAACACCTTTTACATCCTCTGTCCTGGGCCAGAGAGACCCTGCCTGTGCAGCCCTAGTGCAAGGCTCATGGTAGCTGCTGGTGGGCAGGGGCAGGAGAGACCCATTTTGCATCCAGCCAGCCACTGCCCCAGAGACTGAAAAAATGGCTTCATCTCCCCATCCCCCGAGCAGCACAGCTCCACAAGCTGGTGCTGCCCAAGAGGAGCCAGACAGAGGCGGTCATTGCACTGCAGCCCCGCACCCGCACGGCCCCACTCACAGTGGTGCCCTGCTGCCCGCGCACGCAGCCCCAGCGCTGTAAGCCCAGAGCGCGGGATCTGGCAGTTATGCCAGGACATGTGTCATGCCAGTCACACAAGGATCCTGCTGCCAAGGCCACCCTGGGGCTGCCCTGGCAATTGCCTGTGCCAGGTGCTGCGCCCCATTCCCACCCGGTGGGTCCCAGGAGGCAAGCTGGACACTGGGGGCAAGGGGCAGAGCCAGAGAGAAGAAGCAGGCGGCTCATCTCGTCAGGCGCGGCTGGTGCAGCCCCACGCTGCACAGCCCTCAGGGCAGTGGCGGCAGGACCCGACTCATATGATGAGCCCAGCCCTGTGGGGGTAAGCAGCTCCCCTCCCCTCCGTCACCCACCTGTCCCAAGCGAGGGGCCTTGGGCCAGAGAAAATGGCTTGGTGGGCTGCATGGCAGCCCACGGGCCATATGGTGGATGAGCCTGTTCTAGACTGAGCACTGAGTCCAGTTGGGTAGAGCGGTTTTCTTTAATCTTTACTAATCTATACAGGAGCCTCTGGGAACCCCATAAAATTGGGCCCCTAATATAGTCCATGCCTGCTATGACCTATTTATAAAACTTCTGAAAAGGATACATTAAAATGTCGTCTCAGATAGTATAAGTCATAATCCTTTCCCATGATGATATCTCTGACTGTTAACTTATTTTAAATTAAAACTATCTTTATAAGTTTTTTTAATAAAGTAGTTTAACAAAAACAAGCCTAATTTTTTTTAATCAGCTTTTTAAAATGTTTCTTTAAAAATCGTTGATTTTTATCCACCCTGATCTATTGACTGCCGCCTCAAGGACGAGGAAACTACATGGCCTAGTAGCTGCTGCTCTAGTGCCCTATTGTCCGTGCTCACCAAGCTCAGGGCACCTCTGAGAAACGGGACACACACATCCCCGGTTCCTAACCCTGCCCTGGTTAGACTCCAGACGAAGCGGCACATGTCGGGCTGGCACAGCCCAGGCGGCAGCGCCCCGGAGGCCGGTCCTGCGCCGTCCCAGGGCACAGGCGGGGCTGGGGGCGACGTCCCCCGAGCCAGCGCACGGAGGGTCCCGGGGACAGACTGGCTCCAGCTCTCCCTGCGGGGCCAGCAGCACCGCTCTGTCCCGCTCCGCAACGGCTCTGTCCGGGACGGGGACTGCCCACCGCCAGCGGCACCGCGAATACACTCACCAGCACTTCCAAACGGCTACTCTTCCCGCCGCCACAACGGCCGCGTTCTCATTAGGCGCAACCCTGCCAACAACAGCATAGGCGATTGGCCCATTTGTGGCGCGAACCAACGGAGCGGGGGGAGCGGGGCATGACGGGAGTTGTAGGCCTGGAATGGGGCGTTGGACCCGGCGAGCTGCGCATGCGTCTTCTTGGCTAGCGAGAACCTCGGCTCGGGACTTGCCACACTCGACAACCTGGGTGGCACTCGTTCTGGCTGCGGACAGGGCAGCTGCTGGTTTCTTCCCGCAACATTACCCACCCTCTGGGGAGCTGCATGGCCTGATGCCGTGACTCTACAGGCTGCATTTGATCCCCGGGCTAGAGGCTGAGCATCCTGCCCGAGCATCCTCCCTGCCTTGCCCCTGGGGCCTTAGGCTGCAGGCAAGCAAAACCCGGGGGCATCCAAGCCCCAAGCCTCCGGGCTTGGGCCTGCAGGTAGGATGCCCACCAAAGGATTTGGAAGCATCTGAAGCCCCAGGCGGGGGTGGGGATGCTTGCCAGTAGTAAGGCCACATACGGTTTTTGAATGACTTGGATTTGGAATTGATTTGGCTGATTTGACTTGGGACATGAAACATTTTCCTTAAAAAAACAAAAAACTATATCTGCAGCCAAAGCTAGGAGAAAGATTCACTCTCCCTTTATTAACAAGGTGTATTTTGGGGACAGAGACAAGGAAAGCAGTCCTCCAAAGCAAGGAAAGTATAGGTTTCCCTTGCTTTATGCAGGTTCTGTATGTGCAAATTCACTCTTATGCAATGACCTTTTTATACCAAAAATTCACTATATGCAAGGTAAATTCACTCTTAGCGATCCGTGTGCTGGAAGCCTGCAGTCAGCTGCTTTGTGTGGTGCATTGTGGGTGTGATGCGTGCCAAAATATAGTCTCCTGTGTGGATCTGTGCTCCTCGCTCATTGTCTGTGACACGTTTCTGTAGTTGCCATCCCCATTATGATAGTGTCCTGTGTTTGTGTGTACTGTCTGCTGTTGGTGAGTACCAAAAACAGTGGTAGTAATAGGACTGGGGGGTCAGTACAATGGAGGTCTTGGAATGTATCCCTGTTTGTTACATTGGAAAGTGGGTTCCCGTTATGTGAATTTGAGTTGCACACCATTTTCCAGGAGCGCATGTATAACATAAAGCAAGGGAAACCTGTAGCAAGACAGCAGCCTCTGGTTGTGGAGCATCTACACATGCATATTAATACAATGCAATAAACTCAGGTGCATATGGTGCTGGAGTTTGTTGCTCCGGATGCAGCATTTACACGTGCCCAGGGCCGCAGTATGTTGCTCTGAGTAGGAGCAGCCTCAGCTCGCAAGGGATCCGGGGGCTCAGCCTGCCGGCCTGGGATGCTTCAACCAAGCACAATATGTTGCAGAGGGGCTGGCTGAGGCATGAATGGGGCTCTAGTGCAGGCCTAGCAGGCAGGCAGCTCTCACACTGAAGCACTCTTGTGCCCCAGCCAGCCCCATCAGCATCTACACCTGAGGTCCTGTGGAGTGTATTTAGAAGTACTATCTTGCTACAGAGTTTATTACCTCATTCCAGTCTAATAGCCCTATATGTGCACGTTTACTGCAAAGCTAATTAGTCTACTCTGCACCTGCTGTCTCCTATCCTAGAACAAGTAAAGAGAATATTTTCTTTCTTTCTGCTGCTCTGCCTTTGCATTCTGTATTAGTGTTCAGCATTTTTTTTGGAGTAGGAGGTTAACAAGTTTGATTCTTACCTCTCAGTTGGCTAGTACAGCTAAAATAGCATGGCAGTTAATGAGCCTTCTCAACATTCATGTTCCATCAGCATTTCTGTTCTGGCAAATGGAAACTTATAAATAAATGGATAGGCTTATTTATCTGGATTTTGCATACAGTGCAATTCAATTAAAGTGTATTGATCCTTACACTATGTCTGCACAGTAAATAATCATAAGAAAAATTATTCTATTGAGCTACTGTTTTATAGTCGCTCATTTTCTGTGAAGGATACTTTATGATAAATCATTGTCTCCTAAGTAGGAAAAATCTATAAATACAACAGTTCAAATCTGATTCATCCTGAAACCTATCTTAGAATAGGTGACCATGAAATGTAAAGCTCTTTTTTAGAGAGTGTAACTCGTATAGCATGCCCAGCTTGACGATTTAAAATGTATTTTGTATTAAAAGAGTTTAGACATACTATAACATAAGAATCCTTATACTAAAGCAACCATTTCTTCTTTTTTCATTTACAATGTACTTCATTTAAGTGAATAAGACAAAAGGCTTTGCACTTACCTAGAGCATGTACTTTTTTAAACTTAAAGCAGGGGTTTTCAACCTTTTTGAATAAGTGCACCTCCGGCGGCCCCGTTTTTAGTAAGTGCACTGGGGGGTCACAAGTGGCTGGACGCTGAGCAGGGGGAGGAGGGTGGTGAGTGGCCAGAGATGTAGCAGGGGTATGGCAAGTGGCAGCAGTGCAGCATCTGTGTCCTGCTGCTAGTTGTCCCCAGGGAAACAAACATCCACATTTGTGTGGATGTAGCCAGGGAGTTTTGGTGAGCTGTTGTGCAGGGAGGTTGGGGATGCTGACTCAGGCCATGACAGCACAACAAAACTTCCTATGTGGCCCATGAGCCCAAATAATTGCCCACCCCTCTTCCATCCACATCTCCCAAAACTGGACGTACAGTGTCAAATAGAGTGAAAGATTCCCTTGACTTGCAATCCTGTTAATACAACCCAGTATGCTGTTGGCTTTTCTTGCAACAAAAACACTCCAATTTATATAGCAACAGAACTAGCAAAATGGCTGGTAAATTCATGAGAAGTAACATTTTAAAATATTACACTCAGTTCTCAGACAGTTTCAGCTGAAGAACAATTTGGTGTCTGGATAATATATATTGGGATATATTGTGGTATTTCAGGGTCTGGACAATACATTCTGTACCTTGCATGATGAATAACATGCCTCTAAGCCATTCTTTTTTCAAAAGCCTTTAAGATTTGTCAGGAGTTAAGTATGTATTAGCAAAAAGAACTTTAAAGAAACCTTACTTAGGGCACAGGAATGAACCATCCTTATGCACAGAAAGACTAGCAAGTATGCAGAAAACCAGCTTGGCTTAGCAAGGAATTCTTCAGTGAACTAAAACACAAAGGGAAGCCTACAAGAAGTGGAAATCTGGACAAACAACTAGGGAGGATAATAAGAGTATTGCTCAGGCATGCAGGTTTGCAGCTAGCAAGGGGTGAAGGGTAGCAAGAAGGGTTTGTACAAGTATGTCAGCAACAAAAGGAAGACCAGGGAAAGTGTGAATCCCTTACTTATTGGGGAAGGCAACTTAGTGACGGGATGCAGAAACGGCTGAAGCGCTCAATGTCTTTATCGCCTCATTCTTCACTGGCAAGGTCAGCTCCCAGACTAGTGTACCTGGCAGCACAGTTTGCAGAGCAGATGAGCAGCTCACAGTGGCAAATAGGCTATCTGTTTGTCTGACTTGAAAATAAACTGAAAAGCCCTTTGAACAAAAAATTGTTTTTAAGCAAGTTTACATTGTACAGAATAAGAAGACTTATTTGATTATGTAAAAACAAAGCAAAACTGTATATCTAAAAATGCTATTCTGACAACATTTAAACTTACTACTTTAATACATTTAAAGCTGTGGCGGTCGGCAGTCCGGAGCCCCGGTGCTGGATGACAGATGAGCTCAGACGAACAGGTGGGGGCTAGCGGGGCAGAGACGGCACTAACGCGTAATGGTTGCAAAGCTGTTTTATTACTTACACTTCTGGAGAGTGTAGGTTTCACAGTTACAGCAGTTGTAAACTTTCAGTTGCTTAGTATGATCGAACTCTAATTTGAAAACGATTTGAAAGCGACTAATCTTGAAAACGACAGCTGACGAAAACGAGTCGACTGGTCTCAAGCATGCAGAGACAGGGTACGCCGGGAGACAACGGTGGCGGAGAGACCCTCACAAGTGGCTGGCTTGTGAAGTAGCCCAAGGTATCTCTGAGCTGGTCTCTGGCTTGGGCAGAAACTGTGTTGACTTAAATACTTTCCAAGTACCCAATCGTATGCTCCCTTTTGTGGAATGTTCTAGTCAGATTACGTAATGGCGATCTGCTTAATGCATGACTGGGCACGCGTGCTCTGTCAATTTGAATACCTTACTCCATCACACACTGGCCATGTGTGTGGCATGTGTTTGAACATGCGCACTTGTCTTAGGGTCTTTCCACCTGCATGCTCGTACTAGTTCCTTTTAACTCTGTGTCATCAGCACCTTCTGATTTTGGCTTAGACAAAAGCCATGCCTTTTAAACAGTTTATCAAGTGACCATTTTGTTTTAGAATAAGCAAATTACCTTATTTCCCAACTAGGAGAAAATATAACATCTTCCTCTCCCTTAAGAAATTCCAGTGTTCTTTTTTCAAATGTAGCTTGCTTTTACCAAGAGTTAAAACATACCCTCTCAATACCTCCATAATAAATTTGTTGACCAAACTTATGCTTTCTAAGGGTTGTCTCAGGGCAACTGGACTGCTGATTAAGCAACAGTTTGTTATCTTGTAGTAAACTATCAGGAAGTGTGCTGGAGTAGTTGACCTGAAATGGAGTATAAATAGGGTGACAATATGGAATAATGTGAAATCTGGGACAATGGTCCTCCTTCCCTCCAAGTCTGTAGCACTGCTTCAGGCAGAGGCAAGGGTGGGGTGGTATGGTGCAGCTCTGTTATTACTATTCAGGCAGTTAAGGCAGTTACTTCACAGGTACTAATAATCATCCCCCCTATTTAGTAGGCATTCCACTAATCAAGCTAACCTATTTTAGGGCAATTTGGCTGTCTGCTAGGGCTTCATATTTCACAGCTCCTGCTGCTCTGCCTCCCTGCCCTGCACCTGTCGCAGGCCAGCTGGGCACTGTGAGTATATCAATTTAGTTGCAGACTGACTGAGCACTGCAACTTTATTAGCCACTGGGCTTTTTTGGTTCAGGATTGAGGAGGTGATGTTGGGAAGGAAAGTAATGACAAGTTTTATTAATAAAAAAGAATAAATT